CCCCCCCCCCCCCCCCCCTCAAAAGATATTTGACCTTCTGAGGTTTAAAAATGGTATTTTCTGCATTTTGCTGGGCCAATGTTTAATGACGATCTCATACCTTGGTTGTCCCTGTGGCTGGAATCACAGATGCACGATATAGTTTTTTAAATAGTCTATGTATAATTTCCTTTTATAATCTATCACAGAAACACATGCACTATCCAATAATTTATTGACAATAAACCGTGTCCGTTTTACGCGCTTCTACTATGACGTGTGAACAGTTTTGAATTATTTGAGTTGTCAAAGCAACCACAATGTTTCTACGGCCGACACCATGGAAACAGAACTTATCATGTTATATCCCTATGATAACATTACATTCCTTCTGAGTACCAGAATCTAGCCCGGTTCGTTATCGTCACTGTATGATATGAGAGCGATTGCAGTAGGCGAGTGGTGTAGACAGCCAATCGTGTTTGTATGACCTAATTGTAAAACGATAAGTGGCATTGAAATTATGGAGAGAAAAGCACATAAATACCATACCATGCACACAGCTCTTTGCTGTACCATACCATACCATACCATACCATACCATACCATACCATACCAAACAATATGCCACAACATACCATACCATGCCAAGCAATATGCCACAACATACCATACCATACCATACCGTACCATACCATACCATACCATACCATACCATACCATACCATACCATACCATACCATACCATACCACGCAATATGCCACAATATACCATACAATCCATACCACCACACCATACCATCCATATACCACACGACACCATTCTGGAGTAGCTACTGTCCCGTAATGTTTACTGAAACCCATTATAACCAAGCCTAAACTTTAAGTTCTCGAACGGGCAAATTTCTCATACCTGAAGGAAGTTTCTTGACTTTGAGTTTCTCTGTCCTCCTGGTGTCCCAACACGCGATTTTAGGGCTGTGTAGGTCAATATTGTCTGGCATTAGAACTAGAATGTATAAAGGGAAGTGGGTTAAAGACTGAATAAATATAGGATTATCCAGGTACTCGAACAGAACGAAATTTGTAACCATCTCAGGGATGGATCCAGCCAGAACTAGTAGAGTGTGTGCTTATCGCGAGCTTTGCTCATCGTTTAGGGTGCAACCTTTGACCAAGTGGAGGGAGCTACAGTATTTTTGTTTACAAATTCAAAAACACTTGTTTGAGAGTCCACCGCAATGAGCACCCACCTGGCCACAAGCCGAATAATCCCCTTGCATTCTCCTGAAAATCTGTCCCTGAACCAATTTACTGTAATACTCCGTATGATTGAATGTTGCCCCAACAGCATATTATGACGCGGCTTTTGCTACTATTCGGCCTATAGCGAATAAAATGCATGCGATATTTGAAATACACACTTCCGGAAAGTACGTCACGAGCCCCGTTTTCATGTATCTGACATCAGTTAAAGCCCACGTCTCAATCACGTACAATCCCGTTTACACGACAGTTATTTTGGGCACGGCACGCTTAGATTTTGGCACGCGGACCCATTTTTTGGGGCACGGCACTCCTGATTTTTGTCGTGTAAACGCAAAATTAAAGGTCTGCGTACCCAAAATTTTAGGCGGGCCGAGACCTCCTCAGGAGGTGCTCTCGATCCGCCTAAAAATGGGTCCGCGCACCGAAAACTTGTTACGCACGCGTTTTGTTTCGCAGTTCTCACAATCCAAAAATATCGTGTCTGTACAAACAAAATATCGAGGGGAAATGTGGTCAGAAGAAGCTATATATCCGATACATATTATGGTCATGCATAAAGAAATTATTCAACTGGTATATATTCTACACTCAAGTCAAAGCCCACAATAAAGCGAGGAGAAATGGTGAAGATTATTGTTATTTCGTAATGAGCAATCATTCACCGAGGGCGAAGTGATATCGGTGAACATTCACAATAATCATGCTGTGAGCCTACAGTGAATCATTGACATTGTTGTAGTATAAATTTTCAACAAAATAAAACAGAATATTTAACAATTACTGAGCTCGAGTCGTATATGAGCTGATAGCCGCGACGAGGTGCGTAGCAACGAGTCGGCTATCAGCCATATACGACGAGAGCGAATGGTATAATTGTTTTATAATTTAGTGAGTCGTCTAATAAATAGCCATTAACTGAAGCAATAATTAATTATCCTCTGTTACAATGTCTTGACAATTTCTTCGGCCAAAAACCGCTTGGCCTTGAAAATTTGAAATACTTTTGTTTTACAACTCGAAGACGAAGTGAAAGAAATGGTTTTAGAACCGGCATATCTCACAGAAAAGCTGAGCGATATATTATGCAGATGTTTGGTAGTATAGTAAGTGCTTGCTGACTGCAAATTCATTTGTCTTTCGTTGCAAACTTTTCTGAACAATTTATATTCTCAATGACAATGAACATGTTTTTTTCGCTGTTGTTTCGGTATTAATTCTTTAAAAAACTTGTATTACAGTCAATTTCAGCTGACTTTTCATCGTAAGATTCCGAACTTCGTTCCGAACTTCGCAAATTCGTTGCCAAGTTCAAAAGTTCATAATGAAATTCACAAACAGGTTGGTAAACAAAGCCTCTGATTGGTTATTAAATCAAACCAGCCAATCAAATGCCCAGTTTACAAACCTGTTTGTGAATTTCATTATGAACTTTTGAACTTGGCAACGAATTTGCGAAGTTCGGAACGAAGTTCGGAATCTTACGATGAAAAGTCAGCTGAAATTGACTGTAAAACTAATTTCTATGTAATAAATGTATTTTACTAACCTGTCAAATTTGTTTGAGAGTTTTTCCTTGTACTAGGTATTACCTTTCTCAAAGCAAATATTTTCCTCTTTTCTGCTTCGCAAAACTCACGTAGTTTTTTGGACCGCCATCTTGTTTTTCGCTGCTCTCCATATGAGCTGATATATAATTATATACGGCGAGTAATTCAACCAATCAGATTGCAGAACAGCTCATATACGGTGAATGACTATATTATAACTATAAATATTAGCCTAAGTATTCAGAAATTAAACTGTTGTCAGTTATCATGGCTTGTCAGCTGGCCAGTTTATACGAGATTACTGCATGTCATGCAGTGTTGCAGATGCAGTGTTTCTTGTTGGCACACGCTTTATAATATACATTCTTATAATATGACTTTATTGCTTTATTACAAAGTTGTTTATCCCCGTTGTCAATGAAATATCTAGCTTAGAAAATAAAACACTTTGATTTAATCACTTTTCAAGAAGCACTAACCAACAACTATTTTGCCTATTTTGCTAGGTTTATATATGAGTTTATAAACTTATAGTTGAAAAAATACACGCATGGAAATACACATGCAAACTTTGTATTTTTTACGAAAATGTTAATAATTGTAAGCAGGGAAGTGGAAATACTTCAATACAAATTTTCGAAAACTTAAACTATCTCAATAAAAAATTAAATATTAGAAAGCTGAGAAAATTGGTAAAAATGAAATGTAAAGCTAATGCTTGGAATAAAGTTTAAAACACTTTTCGCTACACCAAAAAGTTATGGCTGAATAGATGAGATATTTCATGTCAAGGTTTTGACTCTGAATGTAAGAGTGTCGTTCCCATTTTAGGTGTGCCAAACCCAAATTTTTTGGAACAAAAATTTTGTCGTGTAAGCGCAACAGGCGGACCAAAAAGCGTGGGTCCGCGTGCCAAATTTTAAGCGTGCCGTACCCAAAATGACTGTCGTGTAAACGGGGCTGTAAATGAGGCTCCATAGCCAAGGTGACTTACTTTCCGGAAGCGTGTATTGTCACTCAGTGATCTTTAGGTGATATTTCGGGGTATATTGCTGACCCATGTACTGGTAAGTACATAATATGTGCCCTTCCTGGACCACTAGGTTTCTGGCTTTCTGTGTAATGGCCTTAAAGAATGGATGAGTGATTGATGGATTTGTCTTGTATTTTACCTCCATATTATATAGCTCCCAGAGGAATATTAATGAATTTTTACCACTCGTTAGTAAGTACATACCATAAACGATCATTCATTTTTAATATTATACAGCCATACAACAATTAAGGCTGTCACCAGGGCCGGATTAACATCGCGCGAGGCCCGCGGCAGATTTTAGCGCGAGGCCCCTCAACCC